TTTTGTTAGCATAGCTCACTCCTTTGCATCAAGCACAGAAGGTTGGCTAGCAGAAATAGGGTTCATGCAGAATGTTAAAGCCATTTTAGGGAGAGGGGGAACCAAGACTAGAGACATGACATGTTTAACTGTGACTGTCTTCAGTGCAAAGTGTTATCTTGTGACATTTTGCTTTAGTGTCAGATAAGTAGCTTGGGGGCAAGAACTGGGATTAGGCTCAATGTTATTTAGCATCTTCAGTGATGAACTGGAAAAGGGGTTGTCATAGGGTGACACTGGCCTTTTAAGGAGGAGCAGGGCCAGTGTACCTGTCTGCATCAGTTGATCCAGAATAGGCTTTAAAAGAGGGCCCCTGGGGCTAGGGAAGGGAGGAGACCAGTGAGTCAGAGTTAGGAAGTAGGACTGCCAGAGTCCCCTGGGTAGGGAGGCTATGAGAGCCTGAAAGGTAAAAGGGGAAACATCCCATGGAGTTTGTGGCCCAGGGTGACCCAGGGAGCTGTTTGTATTTGTTTTGTTTAGATTTGGACAATAAGACTGCTTGAAGGAGGCTGTGGGCATGGCAGTAGATCCTTTGTAAACTGCTGAGAAGCCCTGCCATGTTACAGGGGTAAACATCCACGGTGAAATCCTGCCTCTGTTGGTGTCAATGAGAGTATTGCCACTGACTTCAATGGGAACAGGATTTCATCTCTTGTGGATAGTACTAAACTAGAAAATAATGTGCACACTAGTGAGGCTCAAACAATAGTATAAACGAAAAAATTGTGGAAAACACAAAATGGGAGTCAACCTGGAGAAATATCGGATAAAAAACAACCCAGAGCACTGATGATGGGGAGTGGGAGGGTTGGGAGAGGGAGAGAATACTTGTAAAGCAAGAATTTTGGAAAAGATCTGCACCAGATGTTCTCAGATGGCAGTAACTTAAATAGGTGCTCATAAGGTGGTATGTTGTTAAAAATATACAGTGTGATTTTTGGCTTACATATTGTATAACAAGTCATCATCCATAGAGGCAAAAATCATTTTCTGGAGGGAGATGATGTGGCCCTGTGGATCAAGCGCTGAACTTGGATGTTAGACACCTTGGTTCTAGGCCTGCCACTGCTCTGAGACACCTCAGGCAAGTCATTTCACCACTCTGTGTTTCAGTTTCCCCATTTGTAAAATGAAGATACCAATACTGACCTTCTTTGAGCTCTGCTAATGAAAAGCACTCTGAGAGCTAGGTGATATTATACTTGTCATTGGAATAAATGCACCTACAATAGAATGTTCAGTTCTGGACATCTTAATATTTGAAAGATGCTGATAAATTGAGGGGTATTCAAAAATGTAAAGCTCTGGGTGATTTGTTGATTAGACAATGATAAAAACTTAATTTGCTAAGTTTGCCTAAACAAAGACTTAGGGTAACATGATAATACTTTACTGTTTAACAAGAACCCCAAACAGAGAGTTGAATTATTTAGGGAGGTACAGGAAGAACAAAGCTTTAGTAATCAGATGACATTAAGCAAAGGAACATTTAGACAGAATATGAGGAAAAATTTCCTGACAATGAGAGCTGAATATTAACATAACAGATTTTACAGAAAAGGGATGGAAATTCCTTGCTTGAGATATTTAAAATTAGACAAGACAGGAAGCTTGGAAATATAATCTTGCATTGTCAGGGGAATGAGCTGGGTAACTTCACATATTTAATAGGTTTCTTTCTTCTCTAGTGTTCATGACACAAGAAATAATTGCACTGCTTCTTGCATAGTACATCTTATGTCTAGTTTGATAACTAAACTAGGTATTTGGGCTCAGTGTTTAGTGACCAATATCAGATTTTCTAAAGTCTTATCATAACCAGTCATGTATAAGATGCAGTGATTTCTGTCCCAACAGTCCTACTTTTTAAAGTGTAAGAAGACCTCTAGGCAGAGAAAATGTTTAATAATCCAATAAATTCATATAAACATTCACCTATTTGGATGTAAAAGCTTTAGACCCTAGGAGAACTGTTCAGGGGAACAATTCTTGCCAGAAAGAATTGCTAGCACAGTTTTCCTGGGCAGCATAGTTAGGGCATAAAATTGTTTAAACCAAATATTTGCTTTTGTTTCAATTATAAAGATGAGCCAAGATTTAGAATGTGGTTTTCTTCTGAGTCAATGGTAGGCTTACTGTATTTATTCCCTTCTCAAAAGAAAAAGAACTGCTAAGCTGAAGGCTGCTTCAGTTCTGCGGATAGCTCTGGTTTAATTTAAAATAAGTTGTTTGGGTTTTTTTGTTTGAGAAACTGCCCATGTAATTGATGATAAAACCTAGCATAAAACTCTTTATGCCTTGAGGCTGGCATAATTAATAAGCAGTTCATTAATGGCTTTCATTGAAGTTTGGCAGGTGTATTCTTCCAGGTCAAGGAGCTCTTGATACAGTTCTTGTGGCTTTTAACATCTGCTATCCCTTGCCCTCTGGATTGTTCACCAGCTTTCTTTGATGCATTCAGGAAAAATGGTAGATTGACCTGATTGAAATCACCACTCAAAACATAGTGACATAAAAGATTAATTCCCCATTTACAATTAATTAAGAAACAGGTATGAGAAACTGCAGTCTTTGTATACTTCTTTGAGGTAAAGAATCAATGAGAATGTGATCTACAGTCAAGAAGAGACAGAATTTTAACTATAACATTTCAACAAAGAACAAACAACTGGAGTCCCTTTTTAGGTATACAAGAAATATTACCAAATAAGAGTTTGTTGACCTACCGTACTATAGCTAAGAAGATATCAATTGAAAGAAGCAGCTGCTCAGAGAGTGCGAGTTGTATGTTTTTACTATAATCTCTGATGTGACATGAAGGCTAAAACCTCAGACCGAAGGGGTCAGTGATGACCATCTCAAGACATGAATGAAGGCAAGAGATGTACTCCCTGAGATTGTTCTCCAGCATGGCATGTCCAGCAGTTGAGAGAGAACTGGCAGTGCTGGTCCCAGGCATACACATGCACTGGTTGGCACTTATGCTGGATGCAATGGTATAGGGCCAGAATATGATATGCTTCCTCACAAGGTCCTCAGATAGTCCCATTGAAGTTAACAAGACAGTTTTTGGAAATAAAGTGCTACTCTGCATGAGTAAGAATATCAGCTTCTGGTGCTTTGAAATTTTCTGTATGTAAGGAAAGTTTTCAGCATTCATATTCACATTCTCAGTGCATGGGTTTAGAATGTCATTGCTCATTTGCACATTACTGTACAGCATTTCTTAGACCCTGCTTAATGACCACAGTGATGATCACAATGCAGCCAAGTGTAACACAAGAATGTGTCACCTTGAGTCAAATAAAATATTTATCAATACTAAATCATTCCCTTTGCCCTCAAGAGGTAGCCTGGACTAGAGGATTGGGGCTAAGAAGCAAGAGCTCTGAAAGTCTGATTCTGGCCCTGCCACTGATTCTCTGTGTGACCTTTGAACTACTCACTTCAATTTTCCAATATGTAAAATTGGAATTGTAACTGTTACTTAGCTACATTGCTAGAATTATATGAAGCTTAATTAATGTATGTACAGTGCTTTCAAAATTCATAGCACGAAGTGCTATGTGTTCTCATGTGTGTCAAGAGAGTGCAGTGATGGGCACACTAAATGCTTAAAATAAAGAAGTAAGACTTTAGGTCCAGATCCAGACAAGTGGTGAGCACCAGCCACTAAGAGTTCAGTACTTCTAAGGATTGTTCTCTTATTCACTCATGTTCACTTCCCTTTCTATGTATCCTTGACCAACCAAGGGATAAGATCTAGAAGTGAGTAGCCTAGTTGCTGGTCTCTGCGTAACATTTGGAGGCCCTTAAATGAGTGCAACTGTTCAGAAAAACCTTGAATACAGAGCTGCATCTCTGCTGCCTAATCTCCAGACAGAAAACATCCAATTGCAGAGATGAACATTAAGAACACATCCATAAGCATGAAATATTCACCCCAATTTAAAATCATCTAGTTGTAATGTTTAAAATACCAATCATTTTACAGCGATGCAAACTCCCTTCTAAAATCCACTGCCAAGCTCACTTGATTTTCTTTGACAGTGAACATAAAAGACCTCAAGTGTCGAAAGCAACAGAACCACAAAAATCTGAAATGTTGCTTAATTAGTATTTGGGAAGCTTGGGGCTACAGCGCATCTGTTAATTTTTATGTTACAACAAGCAGAAATACATTCACACTTGGCGGTATCATTAGCATTCTGGGCATCAAGTCACTAGTAGTAAATAGCAAATTTGATGCCCTCAAAAATGTTTAAAGATATGGCCTTGCCATTGGTGGAGTAATTTCCCATAAGAAAATAATCTTGATGGTTACAGCCAGAGACTGGATATAAAAGACGACCTCTGGCAACTACAGCAGTTTCTTTCTCTGGAAAAACAGTTCTCGTTTTTCCCTGGGGTTTCATATTGTGCAGCTCTTGACATGTTTGCCGTTTTGTTTACGAAGGGTTATGTTTGGGAAGGGAACTAGTTTGTGGTTTATGACAGCGTCACTGCTGAAGATTTGGTACATACTGTGATTTGTATCGCCCATTTGTGCCTCAGCCGTAAAAGTGCACTTTTTATCAGGAATATTTGTGAATATATAACAGCTCCAAAGACATATGGCCAATAAATAATTCAAAGTTATCTATTTTCCCTGCATATTCTTTATACACCTACCATGGTTTAATGCCTAGCTGGCTTGGAAACAATATTCTTTATGACAGTCCTAGTATAAAAATGTTTACTGACTGGCAGCAAACCACTGATTCTCAGGTTATTGCCTTGAAAAATAAACCCTGTCCTCCTAGTCTCCTTTTTCTTGCCTTTCTATTTTGCTAGCAGCCCTGAGGAGCATTCTCTTGCATTGTAAGTGCCTACAAAGTGGGTATGTTTAACACATGATTTCACTATAACTATAATGTGATTTAATTCATTATTTTCCTCCCTCCCGCTTGTCTTCTTTTCAGTTCGATTTCTGTTTACAGTCCCAAGGAGAATCCTAACACATTTGATGCTGCTGCTTTCTTCCAGTCTGTGGGAAATTTCCTGGGGATCTTTGCTGGATCGTTTGCAATGGGGTCCTCATACGCTGTTGTCACCGCTTTAATATCCTTTATTGTTTTCCAAACAGAAAAAACTCTGCAGGTTTGAAAGACTGTTTGTCTTGAAAAGAACTCCCAAGCTATCTGTGATTTAAGATTGACCATCTTTACTTTGAGCTTGAACTTCTTGACCAGGGGTTTGAAGAGGCTCTGTAAACAAAGCCAGGTCCTCAGCTGGAGAAAATCAACACAGGTTCAATGGTTTCAACGGAACTATGTTGATTTTAACCAGCGGAGGATCTGGCCCAAAATCTAGAGCCCTTACTCCTGTAAGTAGTCTCATTGACCTCAGTAAGACCACCCTTGTGCCTAAGGACTATTCCTTAGTAAAAGGTGCAGGACTGGACCCCAAATTCTCTTATATGGGAGACTCCTGAAATCCCTCTGTCTTTCCCCATTTATTTTATTTCTCCCCCAAACCTGTCATGCTGACCAGTCCTTTCAATCAACGAGAAATAGATCACCACACTGGACCAGACCGGGGAAGGCGAGGAGATTCTGTGCAGTGCAACCTTACTCCAAGGACTGAGCTCACCTCCTTGACAGAGCTCACAGCCACTGACAGTCATGGGATTACAGGTTATGAAGTACCTGTTAGTATTTTAGCGTTCCTGAGAAAATCAAAGCACCATGACATCAAAATTCTCCTATGCTGTTCCACCTGACACTAACATGAATTTATGTAATTAAACCCTTGCTTCATACCACACTCAGCCTCCCAGTAGTTGCTATATCTTAACTGACCCATACAACTACATAGAAATATAATGTAACTGGATAATAATCAGAAGAAGTGTTGTCTACTGGGTGAAATAGGCAAAAGGAGCCAGGACTCCTGGGTTCTATCTTAGACTCTGATAGTGACTCACTGTGGGACTTTAGGCAAAATACTTACCCTTGGTCTATGCTAGAGTTAGATCGACATAAATCAGCTTACGTTAACCTAATTATGTCAGTGTACACACTACAGCCTTGCTCCCACCGATGTAAGTGCCCTACTACAGCGACATAATAAGTCCACCTCAACGAGAAGCGTAGGGCTCATGTCAGTGTAGTTAGGTTGATGCAGTGTCTGTGTAGACATTTCATTACTTACATCGGCTGTTAGCCGTCATATTTATCAGTTTCACAGCTAACCTAACAGGTGACTTAAGTTTCTAGTGTAGACAAGCCCTTGGGCCCAGAGCCTCAAAGGTAGTTAGATCCTAACTACCTTTGAGGATTCAGGCCTTAATCTCTCTATACCTCAGTGAACGCTGTCTTAAAATGGGTACAATAACCATTAATGTTTGCAAAGTATTTTGAGATGCTCACATAAAATACAATATTTAATTTACAATTTAAGTAGTAGCAGTAATTAAACAAAGTACAAGCCAAGCTATTGACTACAAATCAAAGTGCAGCTTATCCGAACTGGGAAAGTCGTGATTCTCCTTTTCCGTACATCTTGTTTAATCATTTACATTAACTGGTGTAAAAATGCTACTCACTTTGCACAAGTATAAATGACTACACAAAGCACTAATGTGTTAATCAGCTTTCCCATCTCAATTCCTTTGAGAGTCCAGTTCTGAAGCATCGATTATGCTTTCTAAACTTTTTCCATTTAAAGGCTACATAGTAAAGTTGACCTTCCCTTTTGACAGAGACAATAAAGGCTGTGGACCAACTTGGCTTTTTGGTCATCTTGTTGCCATATCACCTTTTCACAGCCGCATTTCTTTGAAACCACATGACATGAGCACATTTCAACAGCTAATATAAATAGAAGTATATATGTGAAGTAGACTAATGCTGGATAAGTAATGCTAAATTCAATCACTTAGGCCTTGATCCAGCAAAGCACTTAATAACATGTATAATCTTAAGGCCCCATTGAAGGCACATGCTTATGTGCGTCGTATGATACAGTTGAATAGTTTTACGGTGCATTATTTCATTTATGATAGTGGGGGTGAATTTAGGCTGCAAAGCTGTTTGCTCTTTTTCCTTAGTATTTTTTAGCACTTGACAAAATTTACAAAGCTGTGTGAGTTCCCCATGTTGGAAACAGGCCTGTTCTTCCTCCTGTCTTGGAGTGCCTTCCTGTCAGCAGAAGCTGCTGGTCTTACAGGTAAGTGTTGCATTTTCCTGACTAAGCAAAGACTGTGGGGCTCTTTAGTAAATCTGTGATGTGGGAAAACAGCACACCTATTTTGAACATGACATCTTATATGAATCTTCCAAAATCCAATTGCTTCTTTTCATTGCTTAAAAGTGGGGGTGCTGCAAACATCCATCTGCAGTCACTAGGGTTACCATACATCCGGTTTTTCCCAGACATGTCCGGCTTTTCGGCAATCAAACCCCCGCTCCTCCCCTGACTCTTCGGCTCTGTTTAAGAGCCGAGCGCTACGGGCTTTGGGCAGCCCCCATGCCCCTGGACCCTGTGCCGCTGGAGCCCAGAGATTGCTTTCTTCAACACACAGAACAAGTGAAAACATTCATACACAATGGAAAATGTACACAGACATAATCCCCAGTAATGCACAGAAGTAATCTGTGCAATGCCCAGACTCTAATTGATTTCATAATGTGATTGGGAAGATTATGATTCTTAATAGTTTAAGCCTATTGATGTTTTTGATACTGTTATTTTTGACAATGAACTGCCATAATTCCCACCAGGGAAAGTTAGAGGAAAACCTGAACGCCTGAGCGTTAATAGAGAGCCCATTTAGTTTTGCTGGAGAAATTGCTCAAGACCTGTTAATTTTTACTTTGAACATGATCCTTGTAAAGCTTTTGGGATCAATGAGGCCCTGGGTGAAATCCTGGGTACCCTGAAGTCAATAGCAAAACTCCCACTGGCTTCAATGAAGCCAGGATTTTGCCCTTTGTGTGATAAGTCACGTGTTCAGAGGACTTTGAAACCAGTGTGTGGTTTGTTGTAAATTGCTGCATGCTCACTCCTCTTCCTCCTTTTTATGCACAATTTTCTGTTTCATTCTATGCCAAAGGTGGATGAATGCCAATGTAGCACAAGTTAAACAATAGAGCCATGCTCTATCACTTTCCAAGGAATAGGGTTACCATATTTAAAAAAATAAAAGAGGGCACTCCACGGGGCCGTGGCCCCGCCCCTTTCTCAACCCCAGCCCCGCCCTAACTCCGCCCCTTCCCCAAAGTGCCCGCCCTAATTCCGCCCCCTCCTCTGAGCACCCCGCATTCCCCCTCCTCCCTCCCAGCCATGCGAAATGGACTGCCCGAGCGCTACCGGCTTCACGGTTTGCCAGGCAGCCCCCAGACGCTGCGCCACTGGCCGGCGCTTCACCAGCACAGCTGGAGCCCAGGAGGGGAAGCGCCCAGCCTGGGGTACAAGGTCTAGAGGCTGCCCGGCAAACCATGAAGCCGGTAGCGCTCGGGCTTCGGGCAGCCCCCATGCCTCCGGACCCTGTGCCCCCGGCCGGGCACTTCCCCTCCCGAGCTCCGGCAGCTGCTGTGCTCCTCCCCTGACTCTTCGGCTCTGTTTAAGAGCCAAGCTGCCTGAGCGCTACCGGC